ATCTCTTCTACAGGAGAACAATCCAAACTAAAGATTAAGAATAAAAAAACAGCCATTTTACTGTGTTATAAAGGGGGATCCTGTCCACAGCATACCTTACTAGAGAAGGCCAGCTAACATCTAAAGATGTAAGAATTTTGTGTCTTTGTAGCCGTGCGGTTGTAAACTGTGGCTGACATATCTCTTATAAAGAATTTTGTCTCTGGTGTTACACTGGAGTTATAGATATGATTCTCTGTTATAGGGAACATTGGGAACTGGACTTGGTGAACTTCTGAAAGTCTTCTGTTTATATTTTATGAATGGAACTCTATGACCAATCTGTTGTTTATTAAGAATGTTGGAATAATATGTAAAATACACTCATGGACAACCCTCTTTAACTCCACTTTAGGAAGTGGAATATCTTTATTGTCGCCATTTGTCTATATATTTAAGGAGACAAAGGCAATTTTGTGCACACTTGGTTATCTGGTGTGTCCTCAATAAAGGTCACTGTAATATCTTTCAGAGTTATTGTCTAAATCCCGATATACATGCTAAAATATACAACTTCCTTAAGTTTCGTCCATGAGTGTATATTTAGGAAATATTGCAAATTTGATTAATTTATGATTATAAAAATAAACAACAATAAATTAATATTATTCTACGAATTCTAAACAGTAATGGAATCCCAAGAAAATTTCTAATCCGATATTTGGTGTAAATAAAGAAATAAATGGTACATTACAGGAAATCAGGAGTTCTGGGATCATGCCTATAGGGGAAGTCCGATTTTCCTGGAAATTCTCAATCAAACTACTTAATTTCTACCAACTCTCTACTAAGTCTGAAGATGTTAACTATAAAAACAATCAAATTAGGGTTCACAAGAGTAATCTAACCTAACCTGATTATAACCAGAGCCTCGAGCATATTTGAACAATGTCGTCAACTTTGGCTGTTGACAAATTGATCATCTAACCTGTCAACAAGAGATCAATTCTTATTCTTCAACAATGAAACCTGAGAAAATATTGATATAATTATTGATAATATTTAGATAAATCGATTATTAAATATTTGATTTTTCAATTATTTACATCTCTCTCTTTAATATATATATATATATTGTTGCATCATGATTAATGCGCGTATTTTTAAAATTATTTATAATATTATTTTTTAAATATATTTAAAATTTAAATTATACATTTATTTATTTTTATAAAACAGATTATTACTATAAAATAGTATGTACTATAAAACATTTGTATTTTGATACACTAAATACCCAACCTGCTTTAAACTTTGATGTGATAAATAAAGAGATATTCCAGGTGCCACACCTAAATATATAGTTGTCTTATTATTGACTGGTTTAACCTTGTAGAATGGTTGAGACACGTTCTGGAAAGATGCAAGACACGTCTGAGGAGAGAATCAAGACTGAAGAATCTGCCAAACCACAGCCCAGTGCAACAATATATATATATATATATATATTAAAAATGGCATATCCTTTTTAATATTGATTTCAACACCTGATCTTTTTATCTTTTATTTTTTCTTTCGTTTTTTAATATATATATATATATATATTGTAGCAAAGTATTTATTATTTTATTAACAGAGTATCATTTTTTATGTTTATATTTTGTCACTCTGTAAACTTTCCTCGTTGCTTATCTTTTGTTTATCATTCATAGTTTGTTCTTGCCTTAAATAAATTTCTGTGTCATCCTCGAATTTTTCTTTACTAATTTCCCACGTGGCAATATATATTTATAAGTAAATTAAATTTATAAATTTAATTGACATTTACCGTTAAATTGAAATGATTGCAGTAAGGTGTATAGAGATATTATTTGATGATATTATTTAAAAGAAGCACATTGCCAGTAAATCATATATTTATCATTATTTAATCTCATTTCTTCAATTTTATATTTAACCTTATATAACCCCCCTTTTATATAAACGATATAATAAAGAGAAGTTTCAATCTTAATCTCTCTCTCTCTAAACTTTTTCCCTCACTTTATTTCCAACGTGTAGGCGACCCGCTGTTACCCTTTAAAGGATTTATTTTGCTAATTTCTTAATAGAAAAAGACATCTCCTGCTCATGAAACTAAAAGTTGCTAACGGCTTGCGCCATCGGTCGGAATAAATTTAAACTATTTGTTTATTTTTAATTTTATTCCTGAATATTCCAAATAACCTTTCTTGATTAATCAATATACGTTAACCTTGACGGATGCACGGTGTGGCCACTGGATATACGTCGGACCTGTAGGCTGTTGTTTGGTTCTGTGCTGCCTGGAGTATAGGAGCTCCATCTATGCTTCCTTTCTACGGTGAATCTGTATAAGACCATTGGTCTTAATAAACCTGTATGTGCGTGTATGTGAAAGAGATTAATCAAGAAATGCTGTTTGACAAATTCTGGAATAATTGCAAATCAACGATTAGTTGAAATTTATTCCAATAGATGGCGCAAGGCATCAGAAATTTTATTTACACAATCAGGAGATGCCTTTTTCTTAATTTATCCACCTAATCACAATACAATTTTCCACTTTTATGCTATTTTTCACACATTTTGCTAATGTTTACTATATTAAAAATTTGAAAGATCTGATATCTCTAAAAAGAGTGTACTACACTTTGACACTCCCAACACAAGGAAATATAACAAAGAAATGAGTTGGAGGTTTAGAATATTTTTAAAAGGTATTATAGATTTTTTAAAAAATTTAGAGGAGATTCAATTAATAAAACCAACCTTGCATACAAAATGGAATTTTCCGATAATAGAGTCAATCAATATATTAAAAAGTTATTTGTTTTTAATTAAATACAAGGAATTATTTAGATGCTAAAAAGGCATATTTTGGAGAATTAAAAAAAGGAGATTTATTTGCCAATATTTCGATTGACTGAACGCTAACCTTTGTTAAGGCCTTTATCTCAGCGCCAAAGGGCGTCATTAGATTACAGTTTGGAAGAGTGGTGTAAAACTTACTAGGAAAGAGGATTAATGTGAAAAATATTATAATGAAGTATATTTTATAAATGTATTTTAAACAGTATTCTAATGATGCTATGTGACGCTGAGTTTTTTTTTTTTTTTACATATTAAATAATTATAAAACTATTTTAGAGGCGTAATATTCTTTTTTAAAATAAAAATATTTCTACTGTCCTTACTGCAGTAAGGACAGTAGAAATATTTTTATTTTAAAAAAGAATATTACGCCTCTAAAATAGTTTTATAATTTGATAACAGATGGCGCTCTAGTACATCGTAACATATTAAATACATTAGGAAATCATATAGTCAGATCAACCAATAATTTATTTAACTCCCGATAATCATGGTGGGTAGTTAGATTTGCTTTTACTCTAGGTGTACTACATGTCTTCACCAGTAGAAAGTAGTTCGACTTTATCACTTCCAATGTTCCATAGACCCGTATGATTACTCACACTCATTAATGAGGTTGGACATTTTCAAAGAACAAGGAACCCCATTTAAACAAATTATTTATTAAAAAAAAAAAAGGTGTCCAATGCGGGATTCGATCCTGGGTCGTTTCTGTCGAATATCGACGGTTTCACTCTTCCACCAAATGTGGAGTATTTACAAGAACTTAAGAACAATTTCAATAAAAAATAACGGAGAATTCTTTATAAAAATTATATAAAACTTGAAGAGATAACTCCTGTTAGATAAAACTTCCGCTTTCAATTAATTGGGGACAAAGTCAATAAAAATTATCGATTGGAAAAAGCCATTTTAAAAACATAATTGATGTCTTCCGCCCCATTGACCAAATATTTGTCTTGTCAGACGATGGTGTGTGTTCCAGCACATTTTTTTACACATTTTAACAAACGAAACTTTAAAAAAAGTTTTTTACTTTGAAAAATATTATCTGAACGTTATTATAATTAATTATATTGTTCCCTTTTTTTATCCTTTCTCTAAAAGAGCATTTTTATTCTGTTTTAATTTTTTTTATTTGAATTTTTGTCATATCGTTGGATAATATATTAGTATATAAGAAATTATTTTTATAAATATTTTTTAAATCTCTTAATTCTATATTGATGAATTGAAACCATTATGAAAAATATATATATATTGTTGCATCACGATTAATGCGCGTATTTTCATAATTATTTATAATATTATTTTAAATATATTTGAAATTTAAATTATATATTTATTTATTTTTATAAAAAAGATTATTACTATAAAATGTTATGTACTATAAAATATTGTATTTTGATACACTAAATACCCCACCTGCTTTAAACTTTGATGAGATAAATAAAGAGAGATTCTAAAATAAAAGGATTTAAAAGCGCGAATGTTTCTTTTATAATAATACAAACTTCTACTGTCCTTACTGCGATGAAAAAACATATTGGGAGGGCTTGGCTCATCAGTGGTGAACTCTCCCAGCGGTTTCGCCAAAACAAATTGGCGAAAATTGGCGAAACCGCTGGGAGGGTTCACCACTGATGAGCCAAGCCCTCCCAATATATTTTTTCATCGCAGTAAGGACAGTAGAAGTTTGTATTATTATAAAAGAAACATTCGCGCTTTTAAATCCTTTTATTTTATATGTATAGATGGCGCGTTATTGCTTTGTATTAGAGATTCTAGGTGCTACCTAGAAATATAGTTGTCTTATTATTGACTGGTTTAACCTTGTAGAATGGTTGAGACACGTTCTGGAAAGATGTAAGAAGCGCCTGAAGAGAGAATCAAGACTGAAGAATCTGCCAAACCGCAGCTTGGTGCAACAATATTATTATAGTTTTGCTAATTTTAGTAAGAAAAAAAAAACAAAACAATAAATGCTATGTTGATCATGTTGGGTAGGGGTTTTGATACTGTGATTATTTTGTAGTTATATTGAATTGTCTATATATCAAGGAATGTATCCGCCTATTTACGATTTTTTTAAATGTTGAAAACAAATTTAAAGCCGAGAAAGACTACTTACGGTCATACGACATTGAAAACACCGGTTCTCGTCATATCAACAAGTTAAGCAATGTTAGGCCTGATCAGCACTTGGGAGGGTGACCACTTGGGAGTGCTGCAGACTAATTCCTTTATCGTTTTTCACTTTGTATAGGTGGCTAGGATATCTGGCTTTTACCCAGAAGTCTGGGGTTCGATTCTCTGCGTGGTGGCCTTTTTTGGCGGGTAGAACTCGAATAAAACGAATGGTGAACGCGGAAGAAAAATATTAATTAAAAGACTAGGTAGTCCAATTAAGAGGAAGATATAGAAAGTTCAAGTTTTTCGAAGGTTTTTGCCCAAGAGAGAAGCTTAAGATTCACAAAATTAAGAATAATAATAATATCATATTCATAATATTATCAGAGAAAAATACAAAGAGACTATCTGAAGAAGTTAACTCTACTTTGTATAGAAATGAAAGTAGAGGAGCAGTAATCACCAAGATAAGGCTCCGAGCCTTTCCTCAAGAGCAACCAGAATTATATAGCCATTCAAAAAAGGGTAACTCTGTTAGTATATTTTAGGTGATACCTGTTCAGTCACCTCATACCGCTCCTATGGATTTATGTGAATTTTTATACTGAAACAAGCCCCCCAAAAAAGGAACTGACTATATTGGAAGTTGCTTAGAAGTTTGGAAAGAAATCCAATATGAATACACCTCGATTAAAAGTATTTTTCATGGAAAATTCAAGATCGTTATATTGTTAAAATGCTCAGGAAACCATGTTGAATATCAAATTTAAATAGAATATTGGAAAATATATTTGTTTGGAAGAATTACCGTGAAGATATAATAGAGGTAAAAATTTCGATGTGTAGAGTGATGTTTCATTTATTTTAACTTCTCTAGCTCTTTCACGCATTTTTGTCGAACTAAGGTTATGGGATTCAAACTCGCTAATTTATAAGTAAATGTTTATCCATACTTTTAACAGTCCATAGTTTTAACAATCTATTAACATTTAATGTTATACCTTGATAATTAGTACAAAGCAATAACGCTCCATCTATATATAACAAATGAAAACATTAAAACGCGAATGTTTCTTTTCACAAAATAAATCAAACTTCTACTGTCTTTACTGCGATGAAAGGACAGTAGAAGTCTGATTTATTTGTGAAATAAATACTCACGTCTTAAAGTTTTTATTTGTTATACAGTAGAATCTCCCTTTAGTGGACACCCCGCTAGAGGACACCTCTCCACAAAGGACAGTTTTCATTTGCAAAATTACCATTTTTACAATTCAGCAACTCTCCGGTAAGAGGACACTCCTCTCTAAAGGACACTTTGGCTCTGCAATTAGGTGTTGTCCTTTAAGGGAGGTTCTACTGTACCTTGATAATGTTAGGCCTACCGAAATACTGGTATATCATGTTACTCTAATATATTACCATCCAAACTACATTCCTATTCAGTTCCATCCAAATTTCATCGTCACTCAGTTTGTCACATCACACGGAAAATTCCAGCACTATACTTACATAAAAGATGTCTATTAGAAACAACAAATTATTCCTGCGGAGAAACTAAACAAACCACCTTATCTACGACTGTCTGAACTTTACAGATATGAGACATCGTTTGTTCCCTGATCTAAATGATTTAACTCTTTTATACAACACCACTTTGTTTATTTCAACTTAATGTATTTTCGCTTGATACATGTAAATATGAAAAATAGTACAAATGTTACATTGTAAATGTGTATATGTATGTAAATATGTAAATGTTTAATCTTAAGTGTGTTTGTTTCCTTTGTAATATCGCGCCTAATGAATCCAACATATTATGCTTTTTTATTCTGAAGATTTAATTATGGGTATAGAGCTATAACACGTCATTTCTATACAGGACATGAAAACTTTATAGCATCAGAAGAAACATTACTTTTCTTTTATAGATAATACAAACTTCTACTGTCCTTATTGCGATGAAAAATTATATTGTTAACTTTCCAATAGCATATGATAATTCCATCAATAAATTTATCATAAAGCTTCACCGAGAAATATCAAATGGAAGCTTAAATAATAAATTCAACTAAGGTTTCCACTATAGAATTTTGAAAATATTTGTTTATAAAAGCAAATTCACTTTTTTCAAATTAAAATCTCAATTGCAGAAATTTTCACAAATTTAAACCAAAATTTTTAAAATATTTATCTTTGCCTTTTTTTTTTGCTGTGATATTGAGAATAGATTAATATAATATTATTGTGAGACCTTTATTAAAATAAAATATTTTCAGAATTTCAACAACTGTGGAAATAATTTCAACCAAACACAAAAGCAGATTCCAAATTCAATACACTTTATTCGCACAATTTCAATAATAAACTTTAAATTATACGAAATCCACCCAAATACTCGTCAAGCATAGCCCTAAAAAATAAGAACATGTTTTTATTGAAGTTTGACTTCAATTCTATATTTTGAGATCGGCTAACTTGGCCCATAGTATCATACAATAGTCTTTTGGTTCCATCCACTTCGGAAGAGTAGAAGTGGCTGATCATTGGATCTATGGCAACTTCACCACATAGAAAATCTTCCTCGGTAGGTTTCTCGACCATCTGGCTTGATGTCCATGTGGCGTCCCTCTTATAAGAACATCTGCTTGGATTTTTGTTTTCCGAGACTTGATCATTGAGATGAGTCAGTACATCAACGACATTTTCAACTATACATCTGCATTCTTCAGCATTTCTGACAAGGATGGAAACAGTTGACATCGCCATTTTGTACATTTCAGTCATTTTTTGGATAGATATCTTATATGACAATGCTTGGTCTATTGCTTTGTCTGCTAGACTGACGACTTCTATCATTAACTCAGCATTTTCTTTTTGAAAATTTTCAATCTGTAATTCTTTGCTGGCAAGTTTGGTGATTAGTGAATCGCGCTCAGTGGTTAAAGTTGAAACTTGAAGTTTGAGCGCCTCGCAATCTGAAAGGGCCCGTTTGAGTTTATTTTGAGTAGTTGCTTCTTGGGCGTAGTAGTTAGCGATTCTTTGCTTCTGTTCCTTCTGCGCTTGTTGGGCTTCTCCAAGAGAATCTCTGCATTTCTTTAAACGGCCCAGACAGATATTAAGAAGGGTTACTGTAAGTATGAAGAGGTAGGCTAAAACGATAGCAGCGATTTTAACTAACATTATCAATCTCTCCTTTAAAAAAAAATCAAAATTTACCTGAAAAAATTAATAAATATCTCATATTTAACTTAGCGCCTCTATAAAAATATGTTTAGAAATTCCAATTGATAAATAAAGATATGGAAATTTTTCTTTCTAAATAAATAAATATGCAAATTTAAACGTGCATATTAATATTGTAGCAAGATATTTATTATTTTATTAAGAGATTATAATTTTGATGTTTATATTTTGCTACTCTGTAAAATTTCCTCATTGCTTATCTTATATTTTATCAATTATAGTTTGTTCTTGTCTTAAATAAATTTCTGTATCATCCTGAAGTTTGTCTCTCCCAAGCTTTCCACTCTGCCTCGACCACGGCTGCCTGTACTCTGTGAGAACTGTTAAAGGTCTCCCAAGGTGCAGAGAGGTACTGGAAAACTCTCCACGCCCTGACTGTCCCTCTCGGTTACTACAGGTTTGCCCCTTTCGGTTACCATACCACAGCGAGAGACCCTCGGTTACCACACACATATATATATATATTTATTGGCAGATGAGAGCGCGGTCTACTCGGTTTTACTCAGTAAAAAAAATCGGAGAATAAATTTTGAATAAAGATGACTAAAAGACACGCAGATTGACTTATGTCTATCCATCAAGGCTGTTAAGAGCTGATTACCTATTTGCCTATTGATATTTTCTACCATTGGTTTTTCCCTTTTTTCACACCGGGACAAGTCTTTGTAAAGATAGAGGCTGCCTGGCTGGCATTCGTATTTCTTTAAAATAAAAATACTTCAGCAAGTAAATATTTTTATTACCTCGTCGTTTCGACAAAAATCCTTTGTCCTCGTCAGGAGCAAACAAAATTTAAAACATTTAGCAAGGCACTAAAAATCATTCTATTTTCAACGCTTTGCCAAATGTTTTAATTTCTGTTTGCTCCTGAAGAGGACAAAAGATTCTTCAGGCAAACTATGGACATAAGCTTTTAGAACAGTAGAATTACATATAAATATTTGTATTGAGCAATGCTCTTCCGCAAACAATAGGTACAAGGCCAGTTAGTTATAATTAAATAGAAGTAATTAAGTAGAAGTTTGTTTTATGTTAAATAAAAAGAAACATTCGTGCATTAATGCTTCCATTTCTTATATATAGATGGGGCACGTTATCATCTTATAATTATATTAATTGTTGTTGTAAAATATATTCAGCAATCCTTAAAACCAATACTCATAATTCTAAAAACAAACACACACTACATCTTAATTATTAAATTATACAGTTATCAGAGTCATTAAGCAACAATTCTTAATAATCAATTCTGTCACCGTTTTCTTTTGTGAATAGAATAAATACCCAAATATGGCCATTTCTCATAACCATCGGTGGTTCAGTGGTAGAATGCACGCCTGCCACGCGGGCGGCCCGGGTTCGATTCCCGGCCGATGCATTTTTTTTTACAATTTTTAAAACTCATTTATATATTATACAAGAATGACATCCACGGCGCCAATTTATAATTGTAACGAATAGTATTTGAATAAAAAAATTTAATCGGGTAAAACCCGGGCGTTGCCAGATAATTACTCTGAAAGTTATTACAGTGGCCTTTATTGAAGACACACGAGATAACCAAGTGGGAACAAAATTACCCCTGTCTCCTTCAAAAAAAAAAAAAAAAAAAAAAACAGATGACCAGCGACATCAAGATATAAAGATATATGTGAAATGAAATATCAACTACCCTTACTTTTTTTTTTGCTTATCCCTGGTACACGTGGTACAGGCCATGATAATCATGGTGGGTAGAAGTAGGTGACTACTTTTACTGTAAGTGCACCACATGTCTACACATGTGAAAAGCAGTTCGACTTTGCACTTACAAATGTGCCAAAGCCCCGTTTGATTACTTGCACTCGCTGGCGGGGTTGG